CGGAGGTTGCTCCCAGACTTCGAAAATGCGCAAAAGGTTGGATCTTGAAACAACAACATTGGTAAGAACGCGAGGCAGCTTTTCTTGGCTGTAAGATCCAGTGATAGTTGAGGGCGTTAGTTTGAGTGTCGTTGCGAATTCAATACCACTAGGGGGGAGTAGTAGTATGTCGTGTCTCAAGGCATGCATTTCTCCACCCCGGTCTGTTTGTTTCTAAAGGTCTTGCCAAACAACCTCAAATTTTAATCGATTATGTAATAAGATCACGTTCTACTAAGTGGATGGATGCTCGGCGCTTGAGTCTCAAGTCTTTCAGTTCCTCGGTGAGAACAGTGTACCACGATGATGAAAATATTTAGTGCGTTCTCCAAATTGGAAAGATCCTGAACATCCGTGTAAAATTTGAGATTGAAATCTACCGGAAAGGTAAGTGATGTTGGTATGTTGCATGGTCACCCATATGCACCCAGGTCTCCGTATTGAGCTATCAAATCAACCTTTGACAAAACATTGACATGCGGCAGTTCCAAGAGCAGCATAGTCCGGAGGGACAGGAGAAGTACGGAAACATATTCATATTTCGCGGTGTCGGTCGCATAGTGCGCATTCACAGAGATGAATTAGCGTTGTTTAACAACAGAACCAACATAATAGAACGTACCATAAACCCGATCTTCGTCAATCGTTGCACTATGCATCTCAGCGCCTCGTGATGTATGCTAAGCTCGACCTGACCGGGTACGTCAAATAGCACATATCCATCAGATCCCAGCTCTTGCAGCCGTGCATCGAGCCAATTGAAGTTGATGTATAGGTACTCCATACAGATCAGGATTCCTCCGTTGGGGCCAAGGCCATGTTGGTCCATGACATCCTGGAGGGAGATCAAAGAAGTTATATCAATTGTATATGGATAAGGCATGTTGTCGTTAGCTGGGTCAAGGTTGACAATGGATATTGGGCGATTAAAAGCAGTAAATAACTGGTACTTCAACATGTGCGGAACTTGAGCAGAAAAATACAACCACGTCCCCATTACAAACTCACCTTGCAAAATAAAGAACGTGAGATTGTATCAGCACTCTGAAACAGTCCCCGATGGTCGATCCTGTCGATGGGTCGAGTCGTCGCAGCTCACTGAAGTGTTTCACGGCAACCCAGACTGAGAGACACAATGCGAGGGCCTCCCAAACAGTGTCGAGCATCCAAACCATTGAAATAAAAAGCCGGTCGTTCACTACAAATTCATAGCTGCACGTATATGTGCCAGAGAGTATCAACTCCTCTGGTGTTTGTCTAATGAGCCGTGCTCTTCAAGTCAACAAGTAAAGCTTACCCAGGACAGTATCGTTGCCGCAATTACTCCGCAGGCGACGTTTACAGCCAGGAAGTTAATAACAATGAACATGAGCATCGCTCTAGATCCCTGATACATGGCATGTAACCGAGCAATCATGATGACTTGCATCGTGTGTCAGTCAGGTCAATATCAGAGGTATTGCACCTGGGTGACTTACTACCCAACATGGCACATTTGTGCCATTCACTGCGTAGTCCGTGATAGTACCTAAAAACTTCCAATTAGTGAACGCCCTCGCACTAGTATCAAAGACTCCAACTTACACCTATTAAGTAACTGTGTTGAGCCAAGTTGGATGCTTGGAAATCTGACTCACTCCCACATATGAGCATATGGATTGGATGGGAATGAGATGGTTACAGAATACTTACTGCATCTGTCATCGATACCGATGGCATATTTCTCGACACATACGTAGAATAAGGTATCCCAATATAGCGCATCTAGAACATTTTGGATTCAGCATAAGTTGCCCACCACGCTAAAGCACAACATCAAATACGAACAATAAAATACAGCACGGTCATGAGAGACCAGCGTTGTCTCTGTCGCAAATTCATCGCATGCTCTTGTTTTCTTCTGATACGGCACTCTTGTCACTCACCCAAATGAGTTCAATCTAGGACACCATTCTTAGTGAGATATCTGCTCCGACAATAACATCGACGTACCTCTTGTCCGAGTGTTGAGATTGAAAATATCAGCGATTTTCGAACATTAATATTGCTCTCTCTGTTCTCATGAGTCGGTCTGATAAATTGAGCAGGGCGGATGATGATAATGAAATATATGACAAAAACATATTCTAATGCCAAGTAAACTATGGAAAGGGCAGACGCAGAGACCCATCATCACGAGTGTGTCGCAATCCGAGGATCTACGTGGCAACTGGTAGATATTCAATTAGACCTCAATAGAGTGTAGCATTTCCAGAACTTACATTGTGATGTTGATCGTTTCTCTGAGTTGTGGACAAACAATATCCCAGCTAGTTACTAGCTCGGATGTGACTGAGATTACCTCCTCGAAGAAATTGGTAGCTTCCGTGCTGTCAGCTAAGTCTGAACTGTAAAAAGGATCAAATGCCCGAATAGCAGCCCAGTTCCAGTTTTCACTGAAGGCATATTGCAACTGAGGGTCAATTCAGTTAGTTACTGGACGAATGAAAGACTACTATACGCACCGTAACAATGGCGCATGCTAGCGTGTACCTAAAATTAATGAGCCCCGGCCCACTATTGAGGACTCGAGGGCCTGCCTGGTTGTTGGAAATTTCATGACGTATGGCATCAGCATAATTGCGGGAGAGAAATTCAGCCATCAATCCTAACGGAAGAGTATTCCGAAATAGTCTCCTGTCTCCCTATATACATTCTCGAATCATCAATGGAATGGAAAAAGAATGTATAACAGTACCCACCGTTAGCGAATCATGGTAGTGTAGCCACTCATACCGTGCTTCAGGCCGTCGGGCTAGGGTAATCCTGTCGACCACGAGAGCACTAAAACTGAACTGAACCGAATCCAACATATTCGCCTGAACAAGATATCCGAAGCAGCACTTTTTCCAAAGTGATAATAGTCGGATAGGGCCGCGTACCCCAATTTCAGTGTTCAAGGACAATATTGCCAGATTTTCTTGTTGAGTTTCTGTTACGTAGTGGTCAGATACATGAAGAGTTTTGAGAATATAAATTACCGCTGATATTATTCTTGAAGGCCACAAATTTGAGGTGGTGGCCTGCTTCGGCTTTCAGTATCGCAGGGGCTAAAGTCCAAGCACGCAATATGACTATAGCAAAAACCGCTTGATGAAGATCGTTAAACATTCGCTTGGTAATCTATATGAAAGGTCAGACAAATTTTAGGTGTCAGATTTTGACTTACCGGAGCGCCGGGAAAAAATGGATGGTCGGGGGACGAAATCATATAAGGGTCATAGTTGGGGGGAGGACCTTGAGAATTATCATGGTGGACGACAGTTCCTTCTTGGTGTGACATGATATGAAGAACAGCTGGGTGTAATCTCAGGTGAGCAGCTAAGCACACTCAACATGCTTTATATTTTGGATGGGCAATGCGGGGCTCAGGGCCTCAGCCAAGTCACACTCACTCGCCTAACAAACTGAATTGCTAGTGTTGCCGAGTACAAAAAGAGTAAAAGTTTAACGCTCGCGAAACGGAACCGAAGTCCAGAAATTCATCTGGAGCGGCGAACTTTGTGAACTCGCGTTCCGATCGGAATGTTCTAGTTTTATGAGTAATGAGTTTAACGGTGCTGACAACACTGATTTTGCTAGTAAGTACATCAAGCTTTTAGTATACTTACCCGAAATAGTCACCTCGTGGCACAGCATCGGCATTCGGTGCGATCAATTTGGGGTTCAAAGTTGAGACTCTGGCGCCACATGCACTGACAAAGTTTCGATACATTAGTTTTCTGAATTCTAAATGGAAACATCCCTTCTAGGCGTGTGATATCAATGATTGACCGAGTAACGTCGTGAGGTATACTCGGACTGTGTCTCTGCAGGGTTTGAGGAAGCTCGGAAGAACTAAATAAGCTTTGACTGATAACGGTACTCATGAACCGAGAGTGATATGGTGTGAAGTCAGGAAGTGGTTCACGTGACCCAACTTGTAATTTTCTACGCGGTCCTGCCGTGGTCGTGACGCGGCGAGACTAACGTGGACTAGGACTAGCAGTAAGACCTAAACCGCTTACAATTGTTTCAGGGTCAGCAAGTCGGGTCCTTGAAATACGTTGATTTATTCCGATAGGCCCATCATTATGAGAACCGCAGGATGTGAGCCATTTATTCTTCAAATCAACGGAAATCAACTCCCCAGGTCTGGTGTCAATCAGCGTCATTGTCTGAGATGGAACGCATTGACGGGTCCATCGATATCGATACCATGTGCTCATTCCACGGACACTGAACTTTTCAGTGATTTCTGTCGACGATCTCAGGTGTAAGCTTGGGCGTTGGTCCGAATTTCAACCACAAGTAGTACGAATTCATGCTCAGTTAATTAGATATATTCATCGTCCTTACTACTTGAATCTATGTACCACGAACAAAAAGAGTTGCACAGCCACAGACCTTCGAAGTTCTGAGTGACTTAGTCTCATCGTGACCTCATAGAGGAAGGAAAATAATCGTTTCAGAATCCTTGGTTAATCTCAGAGAAGGAGCCCTCACTTTCTTTCAGGCCATGAAGGTCGAATTTTGCCACTGGTCCATAGTAATTATCACTAACTCATTCTAATAGATTGCAGTGGAGGGATGCAGCCATGCGCACTGAACGCGATCTACCAGCACCTACGTGACCTAGAGGCCAGGCACAACTATATTGTGGATTTACTTCTTATGTGCGGGGACTTTCAAGCTATTCGCAATCACAGAGACATGCAATGCATGGCTGTCCCGCAGAAGTATAGGCAGCTAGGTGATTTCCACAAGTACGTGCCAATACCTAGTTGACATAAACATGCATTGATACACTTTTCTCTAGATACTATACAGGAGAAAAGGACTGCTCCGGTGCTTACCATCGTAATAGGCGGGAATCACGAGGCATCGAATTACATGTCAGAACTGTATGCATCCGCTCCGCGCGCTACCTATAAGGATATACTTATTTAACTCTCACAGGTATCATGGCGGGTGGCTTGCACAAACATATACTTCCTCGGCATGCCGGATGCATCCAAGTGAATGGTATCCGTATTGCTGGTGCGTCTGGAATTTTCAAAAGTAATGATTTCAGTCTAGGTGATTCTCCAATCATGTTCTCGGATACTCCACATTAAACACATGCAGGTTTTTACGAAAGATTACCTTATGATCATGGCACCATGCGAAGCATATATCACATCAGGGAATTTAATGTTCGTCGTCTGTCCTTGGTGCGTGAATTTTAGTCTTTGTGAGTTCTTGATCTCACATTGGATACATCACAGTTATCCTCCCTGGATATCTTCCTTTCTCATGATTGGCCCCAATACATCGAGCGACATGGTGATACTCAGGGCCTCCTTTGCCGCAAACCATTTTTTAGACAGGATGTACAGACGGGCAACCTGGGTTCCCCTCCTTTAATGGGGCTCTTGCGGACGCTGAAACCAAAATGGTGGTTTTCAGCGCACTTGCATGTTCGCTTTCAGGCTACCGTACAGCATGAACAAACCGGTACTGGATCAAATTCTCTGCCCATGACTTCGCCACCACAAAACCCAGATGAAATAGCAATTGCAGATGATGATTTCGATGCAGTTGAATCTCAGAATCCTCCAATTGAATATTCTCGTTTGCAAACGACTTCTCACAATCCTGATCAAATAACCCTAGAAGAGGAAGTTACACAATTGCCTCCCATTGCTTGTCGGCCACAGCCATCTATGACAAACTTCCTCGCATTGGATAAATGCCTTCCAAACCGAGAATTTATGGAGGTATGTGGCTTTGTGTCGATAGGGCATGGTTCTGATAATTTCTAATATAGGTCATCGATGTGCCTACACATCGGATGAATCTACCATGCCTGGACAACGCTGTGTGCCGAAGTTAACCTTCGATCCGGAATGGCTGGCAATATCACGCGCTTTTCACCCATTCTTCTCCACGAGGCGGCGTCAAGCAGATTATCCCAATGAAGCAACAGCTCGTGCGATGGTTGCCGAAGAGATGGAATGGTCAAGTCCAATGTGCGCAATAACGAAGTAGACTCTTCCGGTGTCCCTCTACCTGGCATCCGAACCATTTTGGATTGCCAGACATTCGTGCAGAGCGCCCCTGGTCCTGGAAGTGAAGGAGCTCAAAAGAATCAACAACGTGAGAGTACTGATTCCTTGAGATATATTAACTGACATTGGTTATGCAGCACCTTGGTACACTAATCCTCAGACTACCGTTTTTTGCGATATGCTTGACATTCAAAACGTGATGATTTCTCTTCGGACAATCGGGCCTAAGAAGCTTTCCCGATGACAAGTGCATATCTCACGTTCAGATCACTCATGCTTTCTACGTGTTTTCCGAACTGCACGTTCATGTATATGTAGCTTGCTTGCGCTCGTTTGCCCCTCCCTTGTATCAGTACTGGGACTTGGTTTGCATTGAGATTGTGTGACTAAGCTTCCAAATATGGTGTAATTACAGTGACCGTCACGCTGTGACAGGAGGGGGGGGACGCCTCTGAGGTTTCTCCGGGTGTATGTGCTATATTCTAGTTTTGCACACCTCTTGTCAACAGGCGTCCATAATATACTTTCCCAAACACAATTGTAATTCATTATTCGACTTTCAATTGACATTTTCTTTCAATCCTTGATCTTCTGCGCGCTGGGCTGTGTTTCCCTGTAATTGACGAAAACCTGTTGGAATTTGTCAGGACTCGTCTAAATCTCGTTGAGAATAACACAAGGACGAGGAGTTCATTAGCCTTCCTAGTGACTGAATTGCAAGTGTGTTTGTGTTTACAACGACAATCCGCCAGATCCACTTATACCTTCGTCTAAAGTCCCTTGCTAGCGAGTCTAGGAGAAAGCATCCAGAAATACGCGAGGTACGGCGGAAAGTGCTCATCCCATGTACTGGCGTCTTACTATGTCCACGCAAAGGCAACAGAGAAGTCGCTTGCGATACTTAGGTCCTCTCTGGAGCAAGCGGCAGCATCTTTGGCATCTGGTACGTGATTCCATTCAAACGTGCCTCGCTTTCTTCATCGTTCACCCACAGACAGCGCACAGTCAGATGATCTTCTCCGTCCAGTGTTCAAGGGGTGTGCGACCAAAAACGCGAAAGTCGTCGCCATCTCGTTGGGATCGCTGCAGCGCTTGATAGCCCTCAAGGCTGTACCACAGTCTGTTGTTCCACTCATCGTAAGCACGATGAACGATGCCATGAGCCAAGACGTGGACATTCAACTTCGGATCCTGCAAACCTTAGTCTCTTTGATCACTAATTCTCTTTCGATACACGATGAGCTCCTGGAAGAGGTACATTCTGTCTATACTACCTGCTACCTATCTGATTACCTTCACTGGAGGGTCACCTACATCTAGTTCTCCGGTGCGTCAATCAATTTCTTTATCTTTTTTTTGTTCAGTTCTTGGTTCAGGCCCTTCTTGAACCGGAACAGGATTATTATCAGACTGAACTGATGGTTCGGTCGACGGGTTTGCTTGTTGGGAGACCTTGGCCAGCCCCATCCATCACTACCGCTGAGTCGTTTACATTTTTCGAGTGTTCTTTGTCATGTCTCCATGCTGCCTAACTTCGTAGAGCCATAACCATCCAATATAATCTTTGCGTGGTATCCACGATCCCGATAGCCCATCTGTCCCTCATCCATATTAATACCCGGCCTCAGGATTATTTTATCGGCGACATGAACATTTGCTGTTTAATCTCTCGTGCCCTACTGCCACCTCTTGGTATCTTTTTTAGTAATAATTACGGACTTTTATTGCCTATACCTTGCTACCCTGACCAAACTCTTTCCGCTGTGATACTAAGTTTTGGAACACGTCACTTGTGGGCTGTGTTACATGCACTTTGCTATGTTGTATTGTGTACTCCGTTGTTGTGTATCGCGCACCCTATGTTGTATCGCGCACTGAGTAGTGTGTCATGCAAATATTAAAGTTGGCTTTGGAGCGTGATACTTCAGCAACTCAAACAGAATAGTGTTCGAGATACAACCATCATTATATACATGTACACACGTAGCAGATCACGAATATGACCCTTACGATCAGCAGAAGACACATACATAGAATGCGCACGCACGAGCTGGGAGGCCAAAAAGTCAAATGCAATGAACTACTATACATGCAGGACATCATATGATAAGAATACTATATACATATCAACTTACGTGGAGGTTGCCACTACTGTTGCCACTACTGTTGCCGCATGTTAATACAGAGATATAATTATGAAATGTGTTGTTACTGCAATGTTGGCTTAGACGTCCCCTTCCTGCGATTGCAATGACCACAAGGTTTGTTCCGCCTCGAATTCCTTCCACTTCCAGTCGTCCAACTCCTCACCCAATGCTTTTAATAACGACAGAAATTGTTCGAATCTAGCTTGAGCAGCCACTCGGCCACCACGAACAATGTGATGCGTGCTCTTTGCTAACTTTAATAGTGACTTCCGGTCAGAACTGCAGAAGTCGACCATGGAGTACTGCAAGTAATATATAGTGAGCAGTTTCTCAGCAGCCAATAGAGTCCAGACTTACCATGTGATGGAAATATTCATTGTTTGCAACCTCTATGCCATACTGCCTCATTGGACTGCCCGCGCTCCCTGCACTGTGCCCACTGGTTGGACTACCTGTGCGTCTTAAAAGGGAGGCCCTCGGTAGACCCGTTGATGTCTGAGATTGGAGGGACATTTGAATTATACTGGGGGATCTTGAAGGTGAGCGCACATCAGGTGATACTATGATGGGGGATGAGAGAGCAGGCGTGGACATTTGGAGATGTGATCCCTCTGGACGAGCGCAAAATCCGGTAACTAGGACCGTGGTTGCATCCAAGGAGATTTCAGTACAAATTTGTAGCGGAGATTTTAAGATACATACGGCATGCACCAAGAGCTGAGTTGGCTCCGCTCCTTCAAGGAGCGATTTTGATTGGCTAACTGTGCTATAGATATCGGCCAATTAGAACTCTTCACTGCTCTTCACAAATGATTACCTGAAGGTGCGGAAAAGATCCGGCACGATATACTCAGTCTGGGTTTAGCTCAAGGGTTGCTGAAGGTGAGTAGGAAATGACGCCCGGTCTATTGACAGGCTTAAATACCTTCACTTTTGGGAGAAACGACACTGCTCATAATCATGTCACCATACTTCAAGTTTCAGGGCCGCTGCTATAGCCACGACTCTCACATGTCTGACCGTAATGACGCAGCTGAAGCGATCTTGCTCGGTGTCAGTGCCAGTAACTCTACTACGGACAACTTGAACGCGCCGGAGGACGTCTTTGCAGGAGTCGCTTTCAGTGACGACTACATTTGCACTCCTGGGGCGGAGAATTTGGCATATGGCCGAGCTGCTCCAGATGTAGACCGTGCCATGAAGCTTGTGGAGCAGTTCGAAGAGGAATACCAGCAACTGAAAAAAGTAAGTGCATATTCTGTCCGCCGTAGCACCAAACATACCTCGTTGCGGTTTTTCAGAACGTTGAGGATTGGAATGCTCGAGTTAAAGATACCACTAAGATTTTGCCCATTCTGAAGAAAAGGCAAATTGCATTGGACATCGTGAGTAATGTTGCGTATCCTTCTACAAATCATTTATTTTTGACAGACACCCTGCAAGTCTGGGCACAACAGGACCAACTCTCCTGAATGCGCTTCTGCTACAGGTTCTATTGCGCCAAAGAAGCGCAGACGGCTACAGACACCGTTTGAGTTCAGTCCACGCCCAACCCGGTCCAAGACCATCATTCAGGCAATATCTAGCATCGAGGGTGCTATTGAAAGACAGACGTTGGTGCTGTCTAGGATCTGTGAAGCTTTAGGCGACGGTCACTGAATTTTCGACTGGTGGTTACTATACCTGAGTTGATACATTTGTATTTGGTCTTTACTGTTGACAAGTGCTCCGATCACCTCCGGATGGAATTCTTAGAGTTGGACCAACTGAGTTGATGGAGGGTACCATTTCCAACTTCGACGTTGTCCCCACTGTCACAGACAAACCTGCTAGTGCATCGACCGGTCTATTTCCTATGGAGGTCCCATCATTTGTCTGAGACTGCTGGTATTGTCGACACCGGCACGACTCGTTCTCATCGCCTTCAGTAGGATAAGTCACTCATAAATGCAACGTCCAACACTGACTTGGAGCCTGAGAATGTTAGATGCGTCTCCCAGTACAGTACTCCTGCGAGAATACAACGGTCGTGACGGATTCGTGCTGCAATGTCGTGCAAGGCGGGCTCGTGCTACGGGCGCAGACTGGAACACATATACAGCCCCAGCAAACCACAAGACTACTGAGCTCACAGGCTGCGAGTCTAGATGCTGTTGACGTGAGTGCATTCCTTCTTAAAGACACGAACTCGATGTGCACTACCTTGTCGTTACGATGTCTCATACAAAACATATACAGGTCATTCCCCTCGTACCTCCAGATTGGCCACTTGGTTCCCTTTCTCCTTTCCTGACTCACTCATTCCGACGTACACTCCACGCTAAGCATGAGGGGGCATTATTTCCCTACTATCAGTGTCGTACGTACATGAAGAACTCGTCTTCCCGGTCCCTTTCTTACCAATCATCGATAAATGACAGCCCCCGGAAGCCGCTTGCTCCACTAGCAAACAACTCTTACAGTTTTTAGAGGTCACGCAGAGGGATATTGGTAGGCTTCCTTTGTATGTAATTGTCAGTCTCGCATGGTATTGACGGTGGCCTGATGTGGTCGATTCATGTGCGGCGAATCTAGATTATTCGTGCACAAAGGCAGAGATGCACGCCTCCCGATATGTGTATCTTATCAGCGTCGAGAAAGGTATTTTGTTCGTATCCACTTCGTCGCTTCTGCACAATGCCCCTTTTGTCATCTAGATTCTAGGTGCATCTGCCGAATTGCCTCCGACCCCACTTTGCAATCACACTTCTCTCTTCACATTACGAATATCTTACTGGTGAGTCACGTTCATTCTGGGCTAATTGCTGTGCTGCTTGACAACACAGCATACAGGCCTCACACGCAAGTGTCTTGCCTTCACATATTCATTCGGATATCACATGCTTCAGATTTTGGAAATATTCAGTCTGGTCATCACATAAAAAGGGATCGTGCTGTCAAGGGTTCCCCATCCTCTGCGCCCTCCACTTCTCTAACTTTCTCCATGGCTATAGAATCCTCCTCTGACCACGATGATGCTGCTGCTGTCGTTCGTGCTAAACGACGTATTGCGGCTCTGGAACAGGAGGTTGAGGTTCTCAGGGCCAGTAACAAGCGGGTCAAGCCGTACGTTTTTGGCCTCTTTTTGACTTGATACTCTCATTCCAAATGTGCACAGGCAAATCGACTCTAACGTACACAAAGGACGAGCCATCCGTCGGCTTGTGTCCTTGTTTGATGGACTCGAGGACCTCATAGCTGAAAACGACCGACGTGAAGAGTTGCTGGACTCATTGGATTTGCCAGATCAGCTTGTTTCTACTCAAGAGTGAGTGCTTCTCTCTGTTTGGCCCGTAACTCCCTTAACTTGGACCAGCGAGGACAGGACCATCAGATCGTTCAATGAACTACTTCGTTGCCTTCCCTGGCTCAAAAAAAAACTTTCGTCGGATGTTGATGAACTTGATTACATTTTGAGAGATGTAAGTTCTTACTTCGGGAATTATTTCTGTATCGCTGATCCTATGTTGTTAGCTGCGTAAGGGCGCGGACAGCGCCCGAGGGGATGATACCGCCAATCTCAAACATGTGATTGTCGCGTGGCTCACTGAACTTTTTCATCCCCTGGACCCGCCCCTTCACACGAATATCAAAGACGATCGCGGGTTCATCCATCACATCACTGGCAAGCTCTTGTGTCCCGTAGAGTATACTTGGTCTCTCAATTTGTAAGTGCCATCTGCACGTGGTAGTATTAATGTATTCACTGCCGCAATAGGACTAAGGAAAAAATCAGGGACAGGGACCCTGACTTTCTTGTCACAGCATACTCTTGGCCAGCAATGTTATACCTGGATTACACTTTTGACTCTGGCAACATCGAAAAGGGACTGTTTCGTTCGGCTCTGCTCCTCAAGGTAAGTCGTGCTATTTCAAATGGCCAACACTGCTTATTTGAAACAAAGGCCTTCAAACATATATTCACATCTCCATCTTCTGCCAAAGAAGTTGATGGTGATGGTGATGGTGCTGACGCTATTGTAGCCTCTCAACGCCGCCGGTCCTCTGAGAGCGACATGACTACTCGTAGTCACGTGGCAAATATTATCGGCATGAAGTCGGTTACCCCACGATCCATCGCCTACACCGCTTGCCAGGTTCGTGTGAGCGCCTTCACGTATTTTTTTTACCTTCAGGGCTAACTTTTACTTATAGCTTCGGTTCTCCCTCTCCAACGTCAATTCCTGGCGGAGTATTGACGGAGACTTCGACTACTACGTGTTCTACAACAACATTGTTGATTTTTTCGAAGTCGCACCTGGCATTGACGCACAAGCCCGCATCAAGGAGTTGCTAAAGTGGTGGAACAGGTAATATTCTCATTTTTTCACGCCCCAACTGGTCTCATTCCTGACAGGAAGGTTTTTGGAAAGACTCGGGCTATACCTCTTACACCAGCGCAGCTTGGGAGGTTCTCCGTGTCTAGGATGACTTCGCAGAGGGCTGTTCATGAGGGAGGTTCTCCTTAAGGCTGGACTGCGCAACTATATAAAATTCTTAGACTGTAGACAGATTGGTTCCAGAATATATATTCTTTATTTGTTCAAATCAGCCGATTCTCAATACTAAGCTACATGTTTCAATTTCATTGGTAGGATATAAACGAGGCAACGCGCACGACGCGCCCATAACGAGGCAACGCGCACGATGCACCAATGACGAGGCAACGCGCACAACGCGCCAATGACGAGGCAATGCGCACGACGCGCCCATAACGAGGCAACGCGCACGACGCGCCCATGACGAGGCAACACGCACGACGCGCCCATAACGAGGCAACGCGCACGACGTGCCAATGACGAGGCAACGCGCACGACGCGCCCATAACGAGGCAACGCGCACGACACGCCCATAACGAGGCAACGCGCCCATGACGGGTCAAACCTGGCAGTACCCTAACTGATAGGAACATATTCCATTTAGAAGCAGAAATGTAGAAATATAACAAAAATAATTCATCGAGTTGACGTAGTTTCATTCATGGACAGCTTTACCTAGAATGGTCATCGACTGCGGCTCAAACTGACTTTGTGTACCCTGAAAAAAGTTGTATGTTGTTCCCGATCCTCGACCATATTGCTGATGCTGGCGAGATGTCGACTGTAGATAGATTTATCATCCATAAATGCACATGTCTACTGTCCAGTGGAATTAGTCCCTCGCCGAGAGAGGTAAGACATGATGCTCTCGTAAAGACTGAGCTTTGCAACCAAGTGCTATTGCGTCTTCGATGGCAAAATTTATACTAACTGTGACCCCAGAATCAACTTGCTCATTCTGATGGCAAAGTACAATGCCTCAACAAAACTCGTGATACCTTACGTATTTTCCTAATCACTGCACAACTCTCACGTACAAAGTCATAAAGACTCAGTGATATATTCTCCGCATAAAGGGTGATGGATTACAGTTCACCCTAATTAATTGTAATACTTCCTATGTTAAGATAATACAGGAGAAATATTAGTGTCCAGCACCGCTGTACTCTGAATGTGTAGCTTTAGGAAAGGAGGGTTCCTGTACATTCCAGTGCATGGGCTGATAGTTCAACTTGTCTATATTACACTGATTACGGACATTACAAGCATTATCGGGGTATATATTCCATGATCCAATTTTTCACGGTACAATGATGCAATTCTTCCTTCTCAGAACTACTTTGTCCGTCACGCCGATTGTCCATAGTGCATCATCGAACATGTGTTTCCCTCAACTTCTCGCCATCAATACACCTCGCGTCGTTAAAGTGACCATTTGCCTGCCCTAATAGGAGCGATTGTGATCAATTGATCTATGCCAATTGGTGTATGTATGTATGCATGTTTGTATTTCATTAGTACTTTACTTTGATGGTCGTGCTTAGCAGGGGCTTCGGCAGACCTCATCTCGAGCTTGTCATGCTCATTCGCTACAGCCAGCGAGCGATGAGTCCGCAGGATTCATTCATTTTCCTTCTCCGTAGCCCGAATGGATAGAAATGCATCTCAGACTAATGAACTATATACATCAGCCAGGTGGGCTTCACACTTCGCAGTCAGTTTTTCATCATTTCAGTGCAAAACTTCGAAAACCGGTAGAATCAGCCGTCTGGGCACTTGCACAGATTATCGTCGTATTTCAATATCTGGCATCAAGTACCACGCACTTCATTCCTTTCATTCTCCTTGGCCCATCGGATGGAGGAAATCGCATCTGAGCACTGGTGAGTTATCGTTATCAGCCATCTGGCTTCACGATCCGCAGTATCTATATGTCGAGACAGTAGAACACCAACGCGCAGAATCAGTGGTCAAGGCACTTTTACTGACTCGTTGTATTTCAACAAAGGACCAGATTGGTTGCTAGACGTTCCGGACAATTTCCCCTTACCACTTGGTTCAAGCGCGGGTACTTTGTTCTAGTAGTGATACAACAAGAAATAGCTTTGCCTAGACCTTTCAAACGTACTATATGTCAAATAAATATCAAAACGGATCCTCGATCAAATTTCTTCTCCCTGCAGACCACTCGACAAGCATCTCCCTACACAGTACTGCTAGTCAATACATGTACATGCTCCTGGAAGACAAGCAAATTCATGCTAGTTTCTGCGTCGGAGTATGCCACGAGTTTGGCGTGGTATCCTCGAACGCTAAGGATGAGGCGTGGTCCCAGCACAAACAACTGAATGACCATACAAATTTGAAGAGTACCACCGAGTATCGAAACTCCAATAGAATCCGAATTCTAACAGAAATGATGAACACTGGTTGCACGAAGATATCAGCAACAGATCAGCGCACCGGAAGTTCTGGGAAAAGAAAAGCAAGCTGGACGCAAGAGACACCAACAAAGCTAACATGTGCGGAACTTGAGCAGAAAAATATGACCACGTTCACATTACAAGCTCACCTTGCAAAATAGAGAACATGAGATTGTATCAGCACCCTGAAACAGTCTCCGATGGTAGATCCTGTCGATGGGCCGAGTCGTCGCAGCTCACGGAAGTGTTTTACAGCAACCCAAACTGAAAGACACAGTGCGAGGACCTCCCAAACAGTGTTGAGCATCCAAACCATCGATCCGAGGAGCAGGTATTTGCCTTCCAATTCAGAACTGCACATATAAATGCCAGAGAGTATCAGCTCCTCTGGTGTTTATCCAATCAGCCGTGTTCTTCAAGTCAACAAGTAAAGCTTACCCCCTACAGTATCCTTCAGTATTATCGCCATGATCACTCCGCAGGCGATGTTTACAGCCAGGAAAATGATAATAAGGAACATAAGCATCGTTCTAGATCCCTGATACATGGCATGCAACCGAGCAATCATGATGACTTGCATCGTGCGTCAGTCAGGTCGATATCGCAGAAGTATCGCACCTGGTCAACTTACCACCCAACATGACAGTCAAGGCCACAATTGTGCCATTTAATACGTAGTACGCAATAATGCCTAAAATGCGTAATTAGTGAACGCCCTCGCACTAGTATCAAAGACTCAGACTTACACCTAGTATTGAGTCATTTTGTTGAGCCAAGTTCAATGGTTGAAATCTCACTCACCCCTACATATGAACGTATTGATTGGATGGGAATGAGATGGTTGCAGAATACTCACCGCATCTGTCAGCGATACCGATTGCATATGTCCTGTGTGTCGCAGGTCAGAAAATGGAACATAGCGCATATGAGACATACCCAGAACATTGACACTAGTTGTCATAGATGTAGTGCTGCCGCGGTCCGGTTCGGTCCGGTTCAGAGGCAGTTTGATGAGAACCGAGAACCGGACCAAGGTCCGGTTCTACCTTTATCGATGAACTTTGGACCGAACCTTTGTGAACGGTTCACAGCGGTCAGGTTCGGTTTTTTTTTGGTTCGAACGCGAACCGGACCCAATTTTTTCTACAGCTAGCAAAAAATACATATAATCGAAGTACTTTGACTGCGGCAGCACTACGAGCTCTGTATCCCTCCACAATACTAACAACAGCACCTGTCCTGGCGACAATACACTCCGCTGAGTCACGCGAAGAGAAATATATCAATGTCATTGCGCATGTACATACATGGGACGGAACGAGTTGTATCTAAGATGCTTGATGCATCAACAGCTAGTAGAATGGGGGACTCATGAGGGTTGGATGATATGTTGATGGTGCGGGAGTGGTGCCTGCCTCAATGGGGTTGCCAAGTCCGAGGAGTCCTGGAGAGGCTGTATCTATATAGGATGGTAAAAAAAAGTAAGTTGCCCAACCAGAGTCGAGTCTACATGCGCAACGTACTACCTAAAGCATAGTGAGACATCATTGAAATGAGGAGTCCTGGAGAATGTCCAATTGTAAGGCGGCTGTGTGAGTTCAAAGGAGAAAGTGAACAAACAATGTAGTTAGATAGAGTTGAGAATACCATGGAGTTTGTGAAGAGAATGGATGTGCATTGAAGAGCAAGGGTGCAAGACATTTCATCATAACGGACCGCTCTTCGTAGCAAAGACACAGGTGACGTGGCGGGCACTTGTTGTGGTGCCGCAGTTGATGGTCTCAATACCAAGTGACATCGGGAAGTAGGAGGGCATGAAAGATGGGGCGTGGCCTGAGAGAACAGGTGGGAGAGTTAACATGAGAGAATGGGCACAAGAGGACAGGTACGAGAGAGCAAGCATGAGAAAACGGGCGCAAGATAGCGAGCACAAGCGAAAGAGTTAGAGCGTGCATCAAATTAATTGAAGGTGAAGAGGTCACTCACCTGACACCTCAAACTCAGTGGTTTTGGTTGCCTTGGTCTTTGTCGGCACGTTGATTTTAGGGGTGGAGGCGGTGGTTTTGCGGGAGTGGGACGATGGGCTTGTGGGAGGAGTTGCACAATGAGACGTGTGGTCTGATTCATCAGTTTGAACAGTGCATATCATGACTAACCTTGTCAATGGGCCTCTGCATTTGATGGAAACAAGTAAATCTTGAAGCTTGAGAATCCCTGAGGCCGAAGTGGATCATCAAAGGAAGGGCACTTCAACAATGTGGCAAGCTTCTTTCGGTTCGCGGTTCGGAACGGTTTGGGACCGGTCCGAACCAAAGTCGAACCGTTCACCCAATGGCAGAACCGAGAACCGTACTGTGGTCCAGTTCTGGCTGACACCTGGACCGTGGACCGAACCACAGGAGAACCGGACCAAAAGTCCGGTTCGAACCATGGTTCAGGACTGGACCACGGCAGCACTACATAGATGAGCTATTAGCACAGTCCAAAGTTGTTGATCTCGATACATACACAAAATACGGTATTCCACTATAGCGTATCTAGAATATTTTGCAGTCAGCACAAGTTGCCCAACAAGCTAAAGTACAACATGAGGTACGAACAATCAAATAGAGTACGGTCATGAGAGACCAGCCAGCGTTGTCTCTGTCGCGAATTCATTTCATGCTCTCGTTTTCTTCTGATACGGGACTCTTGTCACTCACCCAGATGAGTTCAATCTATGACACCATTTTTAGCGAGTTGGCTGCTCGGAAAATAACATCGACGTACCTCTTGTCCGAGTGTTAAGACTGGAAATATCATAAGAATATCAGCGATTTTCGAACACTGCCCTGCTTACCCCAATCGTGTACCACCATGACGCCGGCGGCAACTGCAAAACCCCAAGTCAACCTTAGTAGATCTAGACATGTTGATGAGACGAACCTATCCAATAGCTGTGTAATAAATTGAAATTGATTGTCAGCCACCAACTGGGATCATTTGAGAAGAAGGTCATGTTCGAGGGATGGGTGTGAGCGAATGGGCAGTGTTCGTGCTAGATATCAAATCCTACTCCAGAGTCCACAGACATTACATACAGAGGGAATACACAGGTACACACATACATACAGCAAATGGTCTAGGACTGTATCTAATCCAAGAATCGACGTCATTGGCAAATGCAGAAATTTACCTGTTGGAGCGTTGGACAAGTAAAAGCCATTACTACCTTCGGTGTTTGCCGAGAATCGAAAAATGAACTCACTCTCATTTTCGGACTTTGTTTGTACGCCACAAAGATACTCCACCCACTTCATTTGCCACCCCTTCACAGATACATAAAACTATGTTCGCATTTTCCAATTCATTCAAAACCCTTCACCTTGTCTTCGTTCTAAATACGATCACTTTCGCTATCTAACCGACCCCGTCTCACCATATAACTCATCTCGCCAATCCTCTCAGCTCATCCTTGTCTGGCATCAGGTTCAAATTGACATGTGAGTATTACGCGTACTTCAGCCGGAACGCTGACATACCACAACTCAATTTCATTCCTAGATGTCTTCTCTACAGACTCCCGGTCTGATACTAATGCCTGCCCATAATGTGCGCCCGCACTAATCTGCGCACTCCAATATATGGAGTTTGCACCCCAAAAGAATTGGTACGGGTGTTGGAGACGGCTTATTTAGGGTATCCGGTTTTGACCACTAGTTGTAAGTTGTTTACCCTGTCCCACTACTATCAGCGACATTATGACATATGCTAGCCTGACCGTCGATATATCAGTGCTCGTGCGTCCGCTGCCCTCGAGCGTAGCACTATTACACTTTCAGATATTTTCTTGATTTTCTTTTTCAATCCCTTGTTCTCCATTCGCCCGCGTTCGATGACTCGTACAGACGGATGAGCAAGATTGTTGCGTGACCAGCTGTCTGAACTGACATGCTACTCAGGTCGACAGTGATGAATGACAATGGCGTCAACAGTTGAGTCCATGTCATGATCTGGTTCGACGCATGCTGACAGAGCTACTTTCTTTACGGGTATCAACAGATCACAAGGACCTGAATAGAAACCCGGCGCAAAATTCTAAAATCACCGACTTCCTTTTCTTCGCTGTTTGTGCTCAGACAGTCGATAATCAGGGAATTGATCATTCTCGAGCTATCAGCTGTCTGAGCTCAGGCACGCTAATTTTACTTTCCTGATTCACAGCACTTTTGCATTGTGTTCCATATGCCTGGCCCAGATGCATTATTCAGCGGACCGATGTGTTATTAGCTATCTGTGCTTGTACAACCATTCTCGCTTCTCACTTTTTTTTTTGCCCAGACAGCTAGGATACATCGTCAGTGCAATTTACTCTCTGCTCACTACACCTCGTCTCCTTGCCATGCGCATCTATGGCAGAGGTAAATACGCAAGCCTAAGTATCTCAAAATCATCATACTCTACATTGTTGAATCGTGCTGGACCACAGACAATTGTTAGCTTTGAGTTGGTTCAATCAGACAGTCTCCAGGTTATCAACTCCCTACTTTCCAGGCATTCTGGCTGATCTGACGCATTATCACCCATCTGTGGTGTTGGACTCGCTCAGGTCGCTTCTTCTTTTGCTTTGCTCGGGCACTGCATGACAGAGCCAGTGCAATTTGGTCAAAGTGCGTATATCAGAATATCGTGGTCGGCGCCTCATTGATGCTTCCCAGGTGCGCTTGATGCCTTTCGACTTGAAGCCCCGAATCTCTTCTCTACTCCCCACTCAGCACTTGTCATCTCCCTGCCATGCACATACTCACCCCGTAAATCTCTTCTTATACTCAATATGATCGAATCATGCGTCTGTCCCGTTCTGCTCCGCTCTTATGTGGAGCCTTAGCCACTCGACAGAAAGGGAAGTAGACCGAGAAAACTATTGGTCTCCCAGCACGCCTTCTGTCAATTCGCTCAATATAGATATATAATAAAACTTGGAATGTCAACAAAATCGGCGATTTGATTTCCAATAGATCTTTTCATGTCGTCGTCCCTCGTACAAATTTGCGTCGAATTCCAAAATTCGTATCATCATCCATACTTTATCTAGTCCGGCATCTATTCCAGGCTATTCTTCTTTCATCCATCGTGCTTCTATTCAATGCGGGGCTTTATCGAGATGCATCACGGTACCCTTCAACGCTCCTGCAAAATATCTTCGAATTTCCCCGTTTCCCCCATTCTATCAGACACTTCATTCAAGTACCCATCTGCTTACCCTAGCTATATCGGAGCCACTGTGATCTATGCTAATGGGTGTGTATGCATGTCCGTATCTCGTTCGGTGCTTTACTTTGATAGTCGTGCTTAGGGAGTGTCCCAACAGAATATCGCAGTCGATGCCTCATTAGTAGTTTGATAGGTACGCTCGAGGCCTTCTGACATTATCTGATTCTCCACTCCCCACCCAGAAAACTACATATCCTTGTCATGCTCATTCGCGAGAGATGTGTAGTCAAGCCATGAGTCTAAGTGACCCATCCATTTCATTCTCCGTAGCTCATCGGATGGAGGAAATCCCATCTGAGCACTGATGAGTTATCAGCCATCTGGCTTCACGATTCTCAGTATCTATATGTCCAGACAGGGGAACACCAACGCGCAGAATCAGCTGTCAAGGCACTTGTACTGATTCTCGTTGTATTTCAACAAAGGACCAGATTGGTTGCTAGACGTTCCGGATAATTTCACCTTATCACTTAGTTCAAGCGCAGGTACTTCATTCCAGTTGTGATACAACATTGCCTGGACCTTGTAAATATACTTCAAAACCCTATATGCTAAATAAATACCACGATGGACCCTCCACTGAATTTCTCCTCCCTGTAGACCAGTCGGCAATCATTTCCCTGCACAGTACTGCTAGTAGAGAGTAGATACATGTACACGCTCCTGGAAAACAAACGAATCCATGCTAGTTTCTGCGTCGGAGTATGCCACGAGTTTGGCGTGGTATTCTCGAACGCTCAGGATGAGGCGTGGTCCCAGCACAAACATCTGCACGACCAATAAAATTTGAAGAGCACCTCGGAGTATCGACACTCCAATAGAATTTGAATTCTACAAGAATGATGAGCAACGTTGACACGCAGATGTTGGCGACAGGTCGGCGCACCCAGATTCCTGGAGAGAAAACAGTGAGCTGGAGGCAAGAGACACCGGTAAAGCTAACATATGCGGAACTTGAGCAGAAAATATAACCACGTTCACATTACAAGCTCACCTTGCAAAGTAAAGAACGTGCGATTGTATCAGCACTCTGAAACAGTCCCCGACAGTCGATCCTGTCGATGGGCCGAGTCGTCGCAGCTCACGGAAGTGTTTTACAGCAACCCAGACCGAAAGGCACAGCGCTAGGACCTCCCAAACAGTGTTGAGCATCCAAATGATCGAAATAAGCTGGTTGTTCCCTTCAGATAAATCGCACACATATGTGCCAGAAAGGATGAGCTCCTCTGGTGTTTATCCAATGAGTCGTGTTATTCAGGTCAACAAGTAAAGCTTACCCAGTACATCATCGTTGAGTGCTATTGCTGCGATTACTGCGCAAGCGATGTTTACAGCCAGGAAGATAATAACAAGGAAGATAAGCATCGCTCTAGATCCCTGATACATGGCATGCAACCGAGCAATCATGATTACTTGCATCGTGCGTCAGTCTGGTCCATATCACAGAGGTATTGCACCTGGGTCACTTACCGCCTAACACGGCACACAAGGCCACATTTGTCCCACCTGATGCGTAGTACGTGACATTGCCTAAAACTCGCAATTAGTGAACATCCTCGCACCAGTATCAAAAACTGCGACTTACACCTATTGAGTCATTATTTTGAGCAAAGTTCGATGGTTGGAATTTCACTCACCCCTACATATGAGCGTATTGATTGGATGGGAATGAGATGGTCACAGAATACTTACTGCATCTGTCAGTGATACTGATGGCATATTTTCTGTGTCCCACTGGTCAGAAAAATGGAACACAGAGCATATGAGACATACCCAGAAGACGGACACTAATTGTCAGAGATGAGCTATTAACACAGTGCAAAGTTGTTGATCTCGACACATACACAGAATATGGTATTCCAATATAGCGTATCTAGAGTATTTTGGAGTCAGCACAAGTTGCCCACCACGCTAAAGCACAACATGAGGTACTAACAATCAAATACAGCACGGTCATGAGAGACCATCGTTGTCTCTGCCGCGAATTCATTGCATGCTCTTGTTTTCTTCACATACGAGACTCTTGTCACTTACCCAGATGAGTTCAATCTATTACACCATTCTTAGCGAGTTGGTTGTTCGGGCAATAACATCGACGTACCTCTTGTCCGAGTGTTAAGACTGGAAATATAATGAGAACATCAGCGATTTTCGAACACTGTCCTGCTCACCCCAATCGTATAACACCACAACGACCACGGCAACTGTGAAACCGCACGTCAACGTTAGATTTAGACATATTGATGCGACAAACCTTCCCAATAGCTCAAAAAAATGTTCAAACTGATATGTGGCCAGTAACTCGGATCATTTGAGACGAAGGTCATGTTCGAGGGATGGGTGAGCGAGTGGGGAATGTTAGTGGTGTATGACGATAGCTTCGTGCTAGATATACCACCGTTCGGCCCATGTATCTCCAAAATCAGCATAACGGAGATAGATAATCGATCCTACCTCAAGATTCTTGGTCAGGTGAAACGGAGCGAAATCACACAAAAAGCCGGCAATAAACCTGCACCACGCCAGGAAGCTAATTTCTGAATGTACAGGCTCATCTCTATGGCATCGTGTTTCAGTGAGCATGTAACAGACTAAGATTGAAACTCATCGTTTGCTGGAGTCAGACGAACATGGTAATAGTAGTACAAGCACATGGTAGAAGCTGACCAAGATCACAAATCATGACACAAGTAGGGAACACCGATAACCGAGAATAGCCGGAGCGGATCAGCGTAGTAGCACGGAAGAGAATCAAGACCGAAACACAGACTTTCGGATCGCACACATTCCGGTTTTGACTAGTTTACCCTGTCCCACTACCATCGGCGACATATGCTAGCCCGAGGAATTGAATGCGCTATTGGGTTCCAGGCAAGGGTTCGAGAAGCTCAGCCAAGACGCATGATGCCACCATCACTCAGGCATCTCACATAAATTTCTTCTCCATTGCAGGCTCTGCCTTGTGGTCGGGTTATTTATGTAAGTATATCTGTCTTTCACCGTCTTGTCTGTCTGTCTTCCTTCTGTGATTCAATGGTAAAATTCATCTGGATCATATTGCTCGAGCAATACGAAAATTCGTTCAAAAACAATTGTACTGATTGGCTGTGTCACCGCCAACTGGATATTGCACCATCAATCATGATACCAAAGCGAAAGCAGAAAATGACCCACTGACGTGACATCCCGCTCGGGCTACCGACTATTTCCACTCTGTCAGTCCTGGCATGCATGTATGCTAAGGCGAGTAGGTGAGTGATTGGATCCTGGTTGCACGGCGACCTGCTCATACTCACCCCAACCTGTTCACAAATCAAGGAGTCGCAGCAATCTGATGATAGTTTGCAATAGCCAGACTCTGTCGTACATGCACCAACAAACATAGATGTTGTCAAAGAGACAACAACAGCAAGGAGGGAGAGACGCATTTATGTGTGAGATGATATGGAGTCTTCTGAGAGAGATCTCGAATGATGCTTCTGAGGATAGGGAAACACTGTAGGACGACAACCAGCTTTTATATCCTGCACACTGTGACACACTTATGCATCAGCGGGTCAGATCGTGCTACAGAGTGCTACGAAGCACTCTGTAATCATGGGGGACGATTCTCGATTTGGCAGACTTGTGCGCATACATTGAACCGTTTCTCGGCGAATCTGCTCCACTCTTTGCAATTCGGATATTCAAAATTCTCTGTTTGCTGCTGAACTATTTTATTCTGTGACCTGGCATCTACTACAGACGCAACGCATGTAGCCTTCGTAACACCAGACAGCTCACTAATAACCAAACACTCGGTTCATCAGGAAAAAAACCTTTGACTACAGCGTGCTATATAGTCATTATAGTACCTGTAGCCAGATTTGTCAAGTGTCTACTATGTGGAGCTATATAGCCACGCAGCGAACTATATAGTGCTACGGCCACTCCTGTAGCTCGTTGTAGCAACCAACTACAGGTGCTACAGAATGCTATATGTGCTACAAATTACTACAGGGTGCTATAGGAATAGTGTTAGTATTTGCTCGTTCGAGCTACAGGTAGCTACAGGTAGCTACACACTGCTACTGTAGCTCCCACAATATAGATCAGGCCACTGACTGGAAATCAACAAAATCGAATCAATTAAGGTGCTATAGTAGCGCGTGAGCATGTATACAATCCTCGAGATACAGCCGCCTCAATCACCACCCCCTTCAGAATTCTTGTGCTTCTCGAGCCTCGTCTTCGTGCTCTCGAATAGCTTCATCAAAAACGTCATCTGTGAAGCTATCGATAGTCACTGCCGCCATGAATGGATCCACACCAGCGTGCATCCTTTTTATGAATGTCAGTTTGGATGATGAATGACATAAGTAATAAAAAAATACCGAGCGACGTCAAGAAGATTGACACCAATTTTACCGAGCAGTTTGTAAGCAGCAGTCCGCTCGTCGAACCGCCGCAGGGAGTTGAGATGGAGAAGGTAGACCGGGGAGTAAGCAAGCGATGAAAATTTGATGTCCTCCTTTACTCCAGTCATCCACTCGTCGATGCAGCATTCAATCTGTCAGACCTCAGTTGCAGTACGAACATCAGAATCACTGAATACACTCACTGCTGTGAGTAGTGGTGCCGAAGTTCGGTTCGGTCGGGTTCATTGCCCTATATCTGCGAACCCCGAACTCGACCATTGGTCAGGTTCAGGCCAGATGGCTGAACCTAGGACTGGACCCCTTCGAACGCGTTCGCAAGAGTTCGGTTCGGGTTCAGGACGCGTTCGAACCCTCGAACCATTGCTTCAATTTGCAAAAAAAAACAATGTGTACAGTGTCAATAGCTACTAGGACCCTTCCTTCACAATGCGGTTATCATATGGAGCGACAAACTCAGCCTGGGCTGTCGCAGAGATATGCCCTTGACGGTATGCACTCTTGAGCAATTGAAGAGCCTCGAATGTTGTTGGTTGCAAGCTGCCGCGACGTGCGGTCCCAGTAATGCCGCCGCTTGAAAACGCTCGCTCGGACGCAACAGCCGAGCCCTGAATGGCCAGGTAGTCCTTCGCGATGCGGGAGACAGTCGGGTTTCACGATCCTGGTCACCGAGCATTTTCGTCTGTTGGTATGCTTCCTCTTTCTCATCGTCTTCCTCATCATCTGTAAAATCCTCGAGCGGAGGACATTCTTCTTCAGTGTCATCGTGATCGTGGTTCTCTTTGTTGCTAGCGCTTCGTTTGGGTGCAGGGGCACCTTGAGGAGGTCCTGCAGCTGACCGTTTGGCCGGGACACTGCTAGCTAGGGAATGACATGGGTATACCCATGGGTATCTGTGGTGATACCCCCACCCACACCCACCAAAAACCCACACCCACCTGGTGGGTGTGGGTATATTCATGGGTACCAGGGATGGCTACCCATACCCACACCCATAGAGGGTATACCCATGGGTATGACATGAATGATTGGTACTACACACTTAGATATCTTAATGAATGTTGTAGTAGTACTGGAGACAAATATACTGCTAGTCTCACCTTGTTAATTGGCAGTCATTTGAGAGAGATATAAGCTAAATAAAAACCCAACATCAGTAAGTTTTTTACATACATACCCACCGTGTGGGTGTGGGTAGGGGTGTGGGTATCCTAAGTGCCTACCCCCACCCATACCCCTGGGTACCCACACCCACAACCCACGGTGGGTGCTAGATACCCATGACATTGCCTACTGCTAGCAGTCTCCCGGATCTTCTCCGTAGGTTTGGTGGCTCGACCCGAACGGCGTATGAAAGAGTTAAGAGTGCCGTTGTGCGCAGGGGGGGGAGGAAGAGGGGGAGGGGGTATTGGGGAGTCATCATCAGCGTCGTTGTACCAAACTATCTCAGTGGCATCTTTCAGTGAGCCGTCAGCGCGACGTGCGGACGACATGGTTGCCGAACTTGTGCAACACATTAGTGTATTTTAACTAAATTCAAAACCGTTGCGCACCTTAAAACGCCGAGACGTGAACATTCCGCATCATAAAACACCGAAGTTCGAACCAGTGGCAAGATTGCCAACTCAGAGGTGCCAAAGCATGGCAGAAAATAATTATGGTGAATCGCAAGCACGGACAGTACATTCTGCGATAAATGACATGAGAAGTTAGCAACTAGTAGCAACCAATTGTGATGGACAACAAACTAGTTGTAAACTTACCAGCGCGTTAGTGAGTCGCATTGCTGAAGACGCCGAGAAGAGAGAAGAACACGGGAGAAGGCAGAAGACAGTAAAGATGGGCAAGCACGATACTTGAATAGAATGCCTCACCCAAAACGTGAGGCTTCGCCGAAGTAGCACAGCGTTAGGTTCAAACCGGTCTAGACGCGTCTGGACCGGTTCACGTGGACTAGGATAATGCCGAACCTAGAACCTATCAGGGGGTTCGGTCCAGGAGAAATAACGGACCCGTGACTGAACCATCGGTCCAGTCCACAAAGGTTCGGGTTCGAACCTTGGTTCGGGACTGGACTGTGGCAGCACTAGCTGTGAGTATAAGCGCAATGGTTTGAACGGGTAAAGGATCGAAGTATTTAGCATATACTATACCCTCGTCGCTTCGGTTTGCGAACCACATATCATTCATCGCCTCCTGGATTAATCCGGTCTTGTATATGCCACATTTCATTTCCCAGTCCTTTTACTCCACCAGTCAGACGTTGACTAATGATGGTAAAATTGAATTTAAACACGCACCTTAAAAACAAAACGTGATCCTTCCTTGAGAGACTCAGCCAGGTCACGGTTTTGCTTGATGGCGGGTATAGATCTGCTTGCACGGAAGCCAAAGAACGAGGCCGTCAGTGGGCGCATCTTTGTTTTAAGCTCCCCGCGCACTTGTGATGTGCGCCTCGTCATCTATATGCAACATAAAATCAAGTAGGGCAAGGACGCGGACACGAGACGTACCATTTTGACAAGAGAAGGGGTCAGTTGGATGGTAAGCTCTGCCATGTTAGATGCCTCACGCCAGGCATCCTTTGCTAGCTTGGTCTCAATGATCAGTGTCTCTGGAAAAGGTGCGCGAGTCACGACTAGACAGCGGTAGATAGACGTGGCAGTGGTGAGCAAATCCTTGGTGACGTTGTCGAAATCGCTGGCCTTTAACCGTTGGCGTGTTCCGTCTGGACCTTTATTGAACTTCATGTCAGTATTGAGGACCTCCGAGTCCTCCAGTTTGTGCTTGGTGCCGACAACCAGTGGTGAAGAAGCTTCGGCCACTTCGTCATGATCATCGGGAGTGTTGTCCGCGCCACAATCAGACTCGTTCTCAGTGTCGTCCTGGTCCATGCTATCGACAAAGTTGTTCGAATCGTTGCTGTTGCTGCTGCCCTCACTGTCACTGTCGTTGTGCAAAGACACAACAGTTGTGGACGCTGAAAAAGTGTGTTAGTTCAAGATACACACAGGACAAGACATAGTACCTTTCTGTGGCTTTGTATGGATCTTACTCGTGGGTTTTTGGGCCAAGACAGTTGGAGGGGTCTTGCTCATACTGTATGTGAGCGCCTGTTGATTAGGTAGTCTTGTAGGTACACTGCGGTCCGAAAACTATTATGTAGTTGTGAGTAACATGGAGCGCCTGGACAAATAAGACACTGACCATGTTGTCTTCGTCCCTGTCAGCATCGCTGAGAAGCCCAGCAGGCTCGCTGTCGAATACCTCGGGATGTGTCCGGTATGTAGTGCGCAGTGCCTTTAAGTCGCGCTTCTTCATCTTTGTTTCTAAGGCTTTTTGGCGTTCTTCTCCTCGATGAGCTTTTAAAACTGTTGAGCAGAAACATGTAAGTGAGCGCAAGCATTCATGTTGGGCTTGATATAACTTACTTCGATATGTTTCTTTTTCAGTTGGCCGACGTTGCCGACCACTTGCGGTGCATCCCGCGGTCGACACCATCTCTGCACGTAGGTTCTCCTGGGCCTTCAAAAGTGCTGTTTTACCTCCCTTTTTGGAGGGGGCTTTTGCGGGCATGATAGACGGTAGTCAGTAGAAATAACGATGACAGAAGGAGGGGGTATGCATGCCTTTAAAAACCCTACAGTGGCGTCGAATCAACAAACAATTTTTGAGTTTTGTTGATTGAGTTTTGTTGATCACGAAGTTAAAGTTTTCAACTGACCAAGCGGTGTCAATATATTGGCATAAATAAGAGGGACGGGGATGACTTTCCTTTCAAACATACAATCAATACTACAGCGAAATCAATACTACAGCCAAAATGAATAAATTGTAAGTGGCTGCCTTCTCCAATGCTCGCCTCACACTCACCGATGTTGTAGTTCAGCGTTCATGTCGTTGAACGAATCAGACAACGTGAAGCCGAACATCTTGTTATTGAACAGAGCTGAAGAGAAACCGAACACGCTTGAAGTCAGCAAAAGGTGATACTCGACCATAAACCATGACAAACACTAACCAACCATCAGGCCCGTACCTCCTCCAAGTCAACCATTTCACGTGGTCGTTGCTCCAGGACGGGCTAGGGAGGTACCTCATACACCAAGGGAGGTTAAGCCTGCTCTTGATATTCAGTTTCCATTGGCGCCATATCGCCAAACTCCAGGACCCATCAAAACCTCACAGACCTACCTGCGAACACTTGTCCTAGAGCGCTGGGATGCAGAGATTAGGCTTTGTGATGAGTCATGCAGAGCGCAGCTCTCAGAGCACATACAAGGTCCTGTTGCTCACCAAAATTTGGTGCGGGAGATGATAACGGTGCGATGGAATGCTGAAAAAAAGCGGTGTGAGGAGTCACGCAAGGTTCAACTTTTGGAGCTCTTACTTGCGGCTCATGGCATTACTACCCTAGCTTAGTTGTCAGTTAGTTTTAGTCAAGTGTCATTCGGAATAAGGGTGCACCGTGTGGATCACCTTTATTTTCAACGATGTTCGGGTCAATCTCCATATTATGAACTGCGTCCGTGACAGTAGTTGGTCACTTGCAAGGGTCACATCGCTGCAAACGACTTTCGTGTTAGTCACAATTAGGGCCGGTATGAGGACTCACTTGAGGGTCGGCCTGGTCTAAACTCAAACTGGGCGCAGCAGTAACCAGGCGCTGCGCCACAACTAGATCCGGGCACTGCGCCACAACTAGATCCGGGCACCAATGAGGCGAGTACCATAGGTAGATTGAAGATGCTTACATGTATGCCAGTCGAATGGCAGTAGCACTTCAAGGTCATGAAACTTCGAATATAGTCCGATTTTGGTCTCCGCGAGTCCAAGAAGGAGGACCTTCTGGAACGCGGTTTGTGTATGCCAGTCGAATGGCGGTAGGTCATGGAACTTCGAATATAGTCCGATTTTGGTCTCCGTTTGAGCCTGGACAGGATAGTGTTAGCATGTTTTTTCCATTTTTTGTGGCGTCAAGATACTTAGGGCCGGCACAACACGACTTGACACGAGTTTCGTGTCAATCGCACCGTCAATCGCACCAGACAACCCAGCATGCCCCACTGTGTATTCTGTGGGAAGGTAACAACTACACCTGAGGGTCTCAAGAGACACATTGTAGGGCGTCCTGAATGTCGAACGCAGTATGAATCAATGATCGAAGAAGTAGAGGCAGAGAACTTAGACGACGCACCAGATGTTGACTTCCCCCATCAAGATGCAGCTCCAGGCCATGTTCACCCGCGCCCGTCTCCAGATACAGACAATAACCCAGCGCTCAGCAAGACTCGTCGTGTTACAGTCGAGGAAGTCGAAGATGAAGATGGGATGTCGTTCACCAATAATGGCCGATATTTCGAACCTCGGACAGATGCTGGCTGGGCACTGCATGAGGGGGAGACGAGTTTTGAAAAATATAGAACATACCAAGAGGAAGAGGGTGAGGATCCATGGTCGCCTTTTGAGGACGAGTAAGTGCTTGAATGCGCTGGCAAAGCATCTACTAAATAGATATCACTCACCAGGGAAGAGTGGGATCTGGCCCACTGGCTCGTCAAGAACCTTGGTCAGACGCGGACCGAAGAATTCCTGAAACTGCCCATAGTAAGTTTGAAAGCATTGATCAAAATTTGAACTTACAATATTGATACCCTAACCAGACACAAAACCGCAGCAAACTTTCATTTCATAACAACCGCTCATTCTTGCAGCACGTGGATAAACTTCCACGCGGGCCAGGATGGAGTTGTAAGAAGGTGACTGTGCGTGGAAACTGCGAGGATGAAAAAGGCGAAATGTTGCAAGAAGAGGTTGAATTGTGGAGCCGGGACCCTGTAGAATGCGTGAAAGAGCTCATTGGCAATCCTGCCTTCAAAGAACATATGGCGTACTCACCTGCCAAAGCATATGCAGACCATGCAGGGCAACATAGAGTCATCGACGAGATGTGGACAGCAGACTGGTGGGGCGAGAAACAGGTAAGACTATTTGAGAGGGAGCGACCGCCGACAAAGTAACAGACTGACCTCGCACACAGAACACCTTGCCAGAGGGTGCAACGATAGCACCAATCATTCTATCTTCAGACAAAACGTCATTGTCGCAGTTCCGAGGGGATAAGTCGGCATGGCCAGTGTACATGTCCATTGGAAACATTGCTAAAGCAAAAAGGCGCCAAGCATCAGCACGAGCAACCGTCCTCATTGGTTACTTACCAGCTAGCAAACTTGACTGTTTCACCCCCGATGCACGCTCCTTGGCTGGATACCACCTCTTCCACCATTGCATGGCTCTACTGCTCCAACCTCTCATCGGTGCTGGAAACGACGGTGTCGAAATGGTGTGTGCGGACTCGTGGGTTCGTCGTGTCTACCCAATTCTTGCAGCGTATGTCGCCGATTTCCCGGAACAGTGTTTAGTCAGTTGTTGCAAAGAGAACCGATGTCCGAAGTGCCTTGTAGCAGCAAATGAGCGAGGGGATGCACTCAACTCGGCAATGCGTGATCCAGAGTCAACAAAAGAAATCTTGCACAAGCGCAAGATTGGTCAGCATCCTCCGGAATTCGAGGCCAATGGTCTACGCGCCGTTTACAAGCCTTTCTGGGCTGATCTGCCTCACGCGGACATTTTTCTAGCTTTCACACCCGACCTTCTGCATCAACTTCACAAAGGTGTGTTCAAAGACCACCTTGTGAAGTGGTGCATCAATATTATTGGGGAGGACAAAATGGACGCACGTTTCAAGGCGATCCCGAATTATCCCGGCCTTCGACACTTCAAGAAAGGGATATCGAGTGTGAAGCAGTGGACAGGACGCGAACATAAAGAGATGCAGCGAGTATTTGTTGGCTTATTGAGCGGGGCAGTACCTAGGTGTGTGTTTATCGAGTCGTTAAGATGATGTTTTGATGTCATGCCTGGCAGTCGTGTTTTGGTGGTTGCACGATCTATTCTCGACTTCTCGTATTATGCCCAGCTGCACATTCAGACGACTGAGTCCCTCGAAGCCCTACAAACTGCCCTGACTGTATTTCACGCAAATAAAGACATCCTCAAGGAGCTCGCTGTTCGAGAGCATTTCAACATACCGAAATTACACCAGCTCTCTCATTATGTGCAGTCCATCACGTTGTTTGGCGCAGCTGACGGCTTTAACACAGAACTTCCCGAGCGCTTGCACATTGATTTCGCAAAGGATTCATACCGTGCTAGCAATAAACGGGACTACGAGGAACAAATGGCTTTGTGGCTCCAACGCCAGGAAGCCGTGTTTATACGTAGCGCATACCTGGATTGGTTGTCACAACAGCCTCACTCAAACCCACATGACTTCGACGCAGATTCAGACACGGACTCAGAGTCGGAAACACCAAATCTTCCCGCCGCTGAACCACTTCAAGCAACCCATGTCCTTGCAAAAGTCCCCGCACATCCTCACCAATCTGTTCAAACCATCATAACAGCACATGGTGCTACCGAGTTCCTCCCTGCTCTCCAATCGTTCTTACTCAAGAATCTCCCGCACAACACCATAGTCCCTGGTCTTCAAGACCGATTCGATCTTTATCGTCAAGTGGTGATTGTGACGCCACCAGATTTACGAGTTAGCAACGTGCCAAAGCGAAGGCGCATCAGAGCAACTCCAGAAAAGTTGCCGTCAGGCCGGAAGCCTGGTACCCCAGCCCAGTTTGACATGGCATTGATAGCAGACAGGCCTCGCTCTTCGCATTTGCATACTCTTGAGGGTATTTTTTTGCCGAGTTTCTCAGCGGTCAATTTTGATAATAGTCTGGTTGCAGGTGTACGAGTAGCCCAAGTTCGCGCTATTTTCACCCTACCTCACCAGTTCGGCGCATATTCCAGAGCCCTCGCTTATGTCGAGTGGTTCACACCTTTCAAACCACCCGACCCTTCCTCTCGAATGCGACAGGTCTCGCGCTCAACCCGCCAACTTCGCCGCAACGCTGCTGTAATCCACGTTGACGAAATTGTGCGGCCGTGCCATTTAATACCGAGGATGGGACAATCAGTAGATCTGAGGTTGAGAAGCGGAAATGCATATGAGGTGGCGAACGATTTTTATTTCAACGAGTTCATTGATGGCGAAATGTTTTGCGCATGTGTTATAAAGTAATTATATACAACGACGTGTCACGTACGTACTACGGTTGCACCTGTAGCTGCCTGTAGCCGCAGTGGTAGCTCCTGTAGCTGCCTGTAGCACCCCCCAACCATATAGCCGCTTGTAGCATGGCTTAAGACTATATAGCGCTATATAGGTCACTGTAGCATAAGGTGTGCCTACATAGTGCTACTGTGCCTAAAAAGCGCTATATAGCTGTCGCCCGGGCTACGGCATTTTGGGTTTTTTCCTGATGTTCTTGTTCTTGATGATCAGGTATTCGATACTCAATTAGTATCCACACATCTAAAAAAACGAGTATAGAATCATAAATAGGCGTACACGTCTGCTATTTGAGACGCGCAAGGTAAGCTGTTCCAGCAGTCTCCGGGACGATCCTTAACTGGATCGTTCCATCTAAAACAATAACAAGCTTCTACTCACAGAACTTCCCTGTTGTATGTACAAATCGTAGAAGGAAAAACTAGATTAAAAGAGGCATTGTTGACTAGAATCCTGATGAAGTTTTCACAGTGTTAGTAAATGAGAGAAAGTATGGGATTGACATACAATTGGATATGAACTCGACAGCTGCGGCGTCTGCCTCTGAGTCCGACGTAAGATAACCTGCACAGACGCAAGTACCTGCAAATATGTCTGGGTTGGGTTGGTCGCTAATGCCAATAAGTCGCATGACTGTCATCACTAGAATAATACTCACTAAGGGACGAGATGAAGGCCTGATAGTCACTATTTGGTCAGAATAATACGAGCGAATTGTTAATTACTACGCACAGAGGACATGGCTCCAAGAAACTCTCCACCCCTTATGATAATGCCCCCGCTACCTTGGAAGTCACTACAGCTTGCAAACAATACCTGATATCTGATCGTCAAACAGACTTCGAGTTGAGGAGCGTATTTCACTTACCACATGAGCTTGCGGGTATTTTGTAAGAGCTCGAGAGTTCGCAGCATGCTGTTTCAGGTGATCACTGGGTTGATACTAAGCAAATGATTAGACAGTCGCGAGTGCATCAAGTTGCATCTTTGGACTGACGATGTATGGCAAATCTGTGCACGAGACAGATCAACAAAGAAACACAACATAGTTATATGACAGCTTCATACCAAGGACAGATCCAGAATAACATGACTAGTATTCATGATACAATCTGTTCAACTTGAAATTGGCAACTAAAACTTACATCAAACAACACCTGTTGATAAAAAAAATTGAAGTTGGTTGACACATAAAGCCGCTCACAAACTCACATTAAGGCAGCAGCCAGTGGGTAGGGGTTTGACCTGTGTAAAAGTTAGTATCAACCTCACAGTTCGCATTCCCAGTACTTGCCATCACGTCGTATAAGTCCTGTTTGAGAATTAACATCGCATATAATCAAAGCAAACAAGTATACAAACGCACCTCGCTCACAATCTCACCAGCGCGTTCCCAGTCAACTGGATGGATAGCTTGTTTGCGGATCAGCACTTTTCAAATTTGGAACTATCGTGACTGTTACCCTTCTCAAATCCATCTACACGGTGACCATCCACACGGCGACCATCCAAGTCGACGATTCATCCTCCATGTCCAGAGTCTGGATACATCATCAATCGCTTGTTCAAAAGACAGATACGTGACTCACAGTGAAAGAATAAGCAATCTCCAGGCTGGGCGTCTTTCACTATCCATCGCAACGCGCTAAGGATGTTCCGTCTTGTCGGCATGTATTTCAGATTGTATGGCTCATCTGTGAGCACCATGATGTCCTCTTTCGCGTAATTCCAGAAGGCTGTTACATGGTTGTGTTGTTCAATACTGAGTGAGTAAGAGATGATCAAAATGGACAAACATTTTAGAAATTCTGCAATGTTCCAAGCATCATTCACACAGCCACGAAGCTCTCTATCCTGGCTTTTGTAGTTTATACCGATCTACCCGAAGGTAAGCTATGCAAGGACAAACTTGAAAGGACTCACGCATAATGCCTTCTTCTTCCTCGCACGTGGAGGCAACACTTTGATTGTCTGTGGAATATCTATTTCAAGTTGATCACACAGGTCACAGTTGCACCTTGCGACGACAGGTCGTCGCGCAGCACTATAGGGTGAATGTATGTGATGTCTCGATGGCTCTATACTCTCTCCCGTCTGTTGCTGAAGAGATTGCGTCGATTGCGTCCATCCGCGGTGAATAGTGGTGGCCAGGTCCGGTTCTGAACCACGGTTCGAACCTGAACCTTTTCGAACCTGACCAGCGTCCAGTTCAAGGTTCGGGCAACAGGTAGAACCGGACCATTGGTCCAGTCCTCGGTTCGAGGATGATGCAGACTTACAGAACCGGTTCAGAACCGGTTCGAACCTGTTCAAACCATTAGTAGTAAGTCTTTGAATTAGTAAGAATAGATCAAGTGATCCGCACTTACTTTGACAGATTGTTGATATCATGGACTCATCTGCGACTCCGATGCCTTGACAACGACACTTCAGATCCTCAATCAATGAGTTCAAGGTAATTTATCAAACAAACTGACATTTTTTCAATCAATAATCATGGCGCCGGCTTAAAGCTGCAGCGCATGAGTTCTATGGTGAGTTTGACTACAGTTTCCCGCCCACAATCATGACTGACCAGTGTGCTGTTGGCGCTGATGGCAATCTCAAAGATGCTTCTGAAATCGTGTGGCACAACGACCCAGATGACGAGTGCCCTCTACCTGCCCCTGGTCCCACCACCGAACAATCTACTGCCCCAGTGCACCATTTCTTTACTGGTGCTCGACGTAGCGCTCGAGCACCAAGACCTTCGACGAAAATTGTCGACCCTGACAATGTTGCCTCGTCAAGTTCAGCCCGGAGCAAGCGAAAGGCTGTGGACAGTGGTCCAGGGACCAGTCGGCGAGTTGCACGCAAGGTAATTCCAGCTTCCAGTGTTTCTAGTGACGATGCAGGCAACGGCGAAGATGACGCAGAGTGCACAGACGACGGTGCAGAGGCTTCATATGTGCAAACTAAAGCTATGGGGGATGCGGACCGTGAGGCAGGCAGGACTCGTCTCAAAAGCGAACGTACTGCAGACGTCCGCACCATCTTTCAGGCTATAGTGTCATTCTATTGCATTAAACTAGGCTAAGTATCAGTAGAGTGTGATGCAGGAGACAGGCTAAGTGGCTGCATTACCTTCTCACCCAAACTGGCAGTGTAATGCATTACATCTACTCCCCCTATTACTAGGCCTGTCCTATACACAGCCGCACTTTTTGCATTTTTGAAACTCAGCTATTTGTCATTTCAGGTATATCATGACCGCAATTTTGGCTTCCAAAAGCGGAAATTCATAAAACATATCTTATTTTGGTCACCTCCTCATCCCCACATTATCCCCACACATCACATCTCCGCATTTTTCACCCCCACAGTGTGGGAATTACCCCACAACACCAAAAACATCGACCATTTTGGGAATCTCTTCAATATCAATTATTCCCACACCCTCCCCACCTCACTGCAGCTTCACCACCACACCACAATAGGTCCCTGTTCATATATAAGTAGTAATTTAGTATATATATATCTAATATAATATAATAAACCGCTTTTTTTGTCTATTTGTGTGACTGCTCCTTCTCCAGGGGCAATTCAACATAGGGTAGGGTACAAAACACTTTCGCATTTTTGCCCCTTTGGTGGGGAGGTGTTCTATGATATTCAGAACATGTTTATGAACATATATGAGTATATTCCCATCTTTATTTGACCCCCTGAAGGGTCCTACATCAATAGATACAGCACATATGCAAGAAAACACAAAATATGTTCTCATTTAGTTATTTCTAGGTGGATATACTTGGAAAGATTATTCCCAGCATCTATTCAACAATAGTAACAATGTATCAGGAGCCCAGGACCATAGGAGAATCCCTTGTTGCATGGTGTACCCTTCCTCTCCTGATGGTTTACCCCCTGTGAAATTTTTTCCTGTAGGACCGGACCTTAATTGAGGTGAGGGGTCTATTTCTATGTATATTTGGAGTAGATCTATCATATATATGGCCCAGGACACACATAGGATCCTACTACAAGAACAAAAACATAGAAATCTCACTTTTGACATTTTTGATGTTTTTCAGTATCTTACTCTTGCATAAATGATCTAACCTGTTCATATATCATTATCATAGCATATGTACTTGCTTTGTATGACAAGGATCAGCTCAAAATAGGTCGGAGTTTTGAGCTGGTGTGGATACTTGCTATTTTTACTGATAAGGAGCCCATACTTTCAAAACATCGAAATTTAATAATCAGACACCTGGAGTAGATTTCAAATATATTCACTATCATATAGCTAAATTTACAAAACAATCCAACAAGAATTGAGTGCTGAGGAAGTGAAATAGATAAGAAATTGAGTGTGGGAAAGTTCAAAGCCCCAAAACATCGAAAATGGTTAGTTGGGCAGTAGTAGGACTTTAATGCTAGGTCAACTCAGATATACACCATATTCCTTCCACAACCCTCTAAGCTCAGGGCAGTATGTAGTATAGGTTCCTTTAGTAGTATACCATATATCCTACATATTTTTAATGGAATATTTGACTTGTACCATACATAAATGTGACTTTGTGAAAAAAGATGTCAATTGTCACTTTTCACACATATGTCATTTTACTTGACATTTGGTCAGTCCTTCATGGATCTTTCTAAAACTTCAGATACATCATTAGGGACATATATGAGAGCTATCCCAGGTATCTGATCACTTATCACAGGCTTGATTACTATGTAGGCCTCTTATCAGTAGAAATATCCCCTGTACATCAGATATCAAATTTTCGCCCTATGTAGGGCTGATCCTTGTCATACAAAGCAAGTACATATGCTATGATAATGATATATGAACAGGTTAGATCATTTATGCAAGAGTAAGATACTGAAAAACATCAAAAATGTCAAAAGTGAGATTTCTATGTTTTTGTTCTTGTAGTAGGATCCTATGTGTGTCCTGGGCCATATATATGATAGATCTACTCCAAATATACATAGAAATAGACCCCTCACCTCAATTAAGGTCCGGTCCTACAGGAAAAAATTTCACAGGGGGTAAACCATCAGGAGAGGAAGGGTACACCATGCAACAAGGGATTCTCCTATGGTCCTGGGCTCCTGATACATTGTTACTATTGTTGAATAGATGCTGGGAATAATCTTTCCAAGTATATCCACCTAGAAATAACTAAATGAGAACATATTTTGTGTTTTCTTGCATATGTGCTGTATCTATTGATGTAGGACCCTTCAGGGGGTCAAATAAAGATGGGAATATACTCATATATGTTCATAAACATGTTCTGAATATCATAGAACACCTCCCCACCAAAGGGGCAAAAATGCGAAAGTGTTTTGTACCCTACCCTATGTTGAATTGCCCCTGGAGAAGGAGCAGTCACACAAATAGACAAAAAAAGCGGTTTATTATATTATATTAGATATATATATACTAAATTACTACTTATATATGAACAGGGACCTATTGTGGTGTGGTGGTGAAGCTGCAGTGAGGTGGGGAGGGTGTGGGAATAATTGATATTGAAGAGATTCCCAAAATGGTCGATGTTTTTGGTGTTGTGGGGTAATTCCCACACTGTGGGGGTGAAAAATGCGGAGATGTGATGTGTGGGGATAATGTGGGGATGAGGAGGTGACCAAAATAAGATATGTTTTATGAATTTCCGCTTTTGGAAGCCAAAATTGCGGTCATGATATACCTGAAATGACAAATAGCTGAGTTTCAAAAATGCAAAAAGTGCGGCTGTGTATAGGACAGGCCTAGTAATAGGGGGAGTAGATGTAATGCATTACACTGCCAGTTTGGGTGAGAAGGTAATGCAGCCACTTAGCCTGTCTCCTGCATCACACTCTACTGATACTTAGCCTAGTTTAATGCATTATCCCTACAGGATCTTGTGCATCTTTGTCAAAAAGGATGATGTGTCCGAGCCTGGACATGTTTGTACCATCTGCGAGTGAGTTTTAGTAATCATACCAATATTACCTTTACTTAACTGACTTGGTTCTGTAGAAAGAACGGTGTCCCGGCTCACCATTGCTTCTTCAAAGGAGGTATGTCAACACTTCGTACCCATATCGCTAGGCGAGTGCCATATCTTTGCTGACTAAGTACTATTGCTGACGGAGCAGTGTTGTAGGCATCCCGACCACTTTGCTGTTTATCAAGCATGCTGCAAGAATCTGCAAATCCCTATGCACGCGCGAGCATGTCCAAAGTCTGATGGGACTCTCCAAAGGTAAGTTTCCTCTGTAATCTACTTACTACATACTCATTGTGTAATTCAGTCAAGGAAGTCTTGATGGCATTGTAGTTCATCAGCCTCGGGCACCCGTTTTCACTACCAGCGGTCTTCTCGACTACATTGTCGAGCTAGTTGTATGTGAAGACAAGGTAATTCAATTGTTCATATTCAAATAACAACACACGACTAACCAAATCATACAGGCATTCCAACTGGTGGACAAGGGACCATTTCAGCGCTTGCTGACATATGTCCGACCAACCTTGTCTGACAAGGATATTCCGCACCGAAAGGCCCTTCGCGAGGAAATCATCAAGAAAGCCAAAGCTACTGAAGTGCGCGTCAAGGAAATTCTCAAGGTATGTACTTGTATTATTTCATGAGCCCTGACTCGTACTGATGCTGTGGTGCAGGATATACCTGGCAAAGTCTCGTTCACCTTTGATGCTTGGACTTCGGATCCTGGTGACCCTTTTCTTTCGGTAACTGGCCATTATATACATGCACCACCTGAACGTCCTAACACCTGGAAACTCCAAACTGAACAACTTGCCTTTGCTCCAATGGAAGGACGGCATTCAGGAGCCAATATGGCCAACTTGCTCACACGAACTGTTGACCGCTATGGTCTTCGCAAAAAGGTTGGTTGGTTCTCGTGTGATAACGCTGCCAGTAACGACACATGTCTCATGGTGTTCGCCGACACTATCAACACCAACAAGAAGTCCGAGTCTGATGTGCAGAGGTGGGATCCAGTAGAAGGTCACATCAGGTATGATTTTGCCTCGTCATTTGGTGCATTCATCACTCACTCAATATCAGATGCATGGAACACACTATCAACCTTGCTGCTGGACATTTTCTCATGGCCGTCTCACCAACATCCAGCCGCAAACTTCTAAAGAAAATCAAGGCGGCAGTTAAACGCTCGGATATCGATTTCGATGCTTTAGATGTCAGTTTGGATGGGATTGATTATGAGGGAGCGGATGAATGTGAAGAGGATGATGACGAGGATGACGAATTCGGAGTCGGTGACTCGATTGGTAAGGCTCTTGCGCTTGTGAAACAGGTTCGTTGACTTCCGTCTGACAACTTTTATATTCTACTAACTATTGATTATAGATCCGTGCATCACCTCAGGCCCGCGCATTCTTTGCACAGTCATGTAAACAAGCAGATGTCCCTGTTCTGGAGCTTACACAATGGATACGGACTCGGTGGGCGTCCATGCACAGTTTTATCACCCGCATGTTGTTACTTCAAAAGGTACGTCTCTCATATGTTGCACGTCCATGAGCTCATTGTTCTTTATAGGGTGTCAATCTTTTTGTCGAGCTCGCGGATGACAGCGAGGAAGTCCCTGGCCTCAAAGGCAAATGTTATGCAGACTTTCGTCTTGACAAAAAGGACTGGGAGAAATTGAAATTGGTGCACGAAGTTCTTCAGGTATGTGTATCTAGTTCTACCAGCTGTACTTATTACTAATATTTGCACAGGAACCAGCGAGCGCCACACAAACGTTTTCCAGTTTGTCCGATCCTTCCGTCTGGCGGACAATTCCAGTCCTCGAGTTTTTGCAGAAGTCCTGGGAAAATATGGCAGCCCTTCCTCGATTCTCACAAGTCCACGACGCTATTCTCAAGGGATTGAACAATGTTGCAAAGTGGTATGACAAAACAAAAGCTACTAACGCATACTTTATTTGTCTAGCACTCGATCCTAATGTCAAGGTGGCCTATTCCGAGCATCAGTGGGATACGGAATCCTTCAAAATCGGTCTCAAAGATCTCGAACAAGTGGTATGTTTAATATTTGTTGACCATTGAAGCCAATATTTGCTGACATGTTTCGATAGTTTGACGAGTACTATACTATTGCCCCCGTCTCAGCTCCTGTGGATGCAAACATCGAACAAGCACCACCTGGGCAAGCCCAATATGGCCGTTCCTGGGTCCTTGCTGCTGTACAAGCACGTCAAGCATCTGATCGCACCCAGCTTAGGCCTTGTGCTGAACTTACTGCATACCTCTGGAGTCCTCTCGAGCAGACAGAGGATGTTGTGGGTTGGTGGGGTGTAAGTCTTTTTTTCTCATCATTGCAAGTTCATTTACATCAACTTCATACAGCACCATCAGTCACAATATCCGACACTTTCACGCATGGCCCGAGATTATTTAGCCATCCAGGGTAGTAGCACAGCATCGGAGCGTGCCTTTTCAAGCGGTGGACTAACAGGAACCAAACGACGGAACCGTCTCAACAAGGATGTATTCGAGAACTTGCAACTGTTGAAGAGTGCATACCGCAATGGCCACATCTCTGCCGCTAGTGATGCCGAGCAACATCTAGATTCGTTGATTGCTGCACTCCATGACAACACAGATGACGAGGATGGTGAACTGGTCTAGTAGCATTTAGTATTAGTACTTCTGTTGTCAGGCATGTTTCGTTTATATGATTTTTCTTCATGAAATTTTTATTATTTTGGATGGTTCGGTTCTCGGTTCGAACCCTTGCTGAACCAGAACCAGACCATTATTGGACCGAACCGATGGTCCAGTCCTTGGTTCTGCTCACTGGTAGAACTGAACCTATGGTCAGGTTCGTGGTTCTCAGAATTTGCCTGAGAACTGGACCGAACTGGACCTGTCCATCACTAGCGGTGAAGCCGCGAAGTCACATGTTGTACTGGCCAAGCATCTGGCGTAGTCCTCCCGTTGTACTTGGAATCATAGGAAGGCACCGATGGAGGAAGGGCTGCATGTGCACTGGAGGACGTCGGGGGAGGATGTTGGCGTATTAGCGCTCGGCGCGTTTTGGTAGCCGCTGGTCTAACCGATGTGAACTTAACACGACTTGATCACGTGAAGTTGAATGAACTTACTTCGGAGATGGCGATCGCCTCATGTGAACGACTGCAGGGATGGACGAAGTGTATGAACTCCTTGATCTGTCTAGCCTTTCGAAACGAGTCAATACTAGGCAGGCACATCCTGCATTGACGGTCACATTACCCCTTGTTTCGGCGACTGTTAAAGTCATGGGACTACGTTAGCGAGGACAATAACGATCAGGAGGTAAACATACGAAATCAGCTTGGCAGGAGGGACAGACATACGCGCTTATCAATGAGGGCAGTTTATGACTACTAGCTACGCTTCAGAGTGCGTGGGCAAGTAGCTAGTGAAACCCTTGAGAATCTACCCATGCGTTTTATTAGGGTAAGGATTATCAAGCTCCCACCCTCATAGCGCTAGATGATTCTGTCAAATTGACTACAACACACTATCACTAGGTGATATATACCAGTCTTGGCAAGCTTCGTTTGACAGGTGCATCGCAAAAAAGACGGATAGGAGGAAGGTGGTGTTCTAAGTTAGCCGAGGCACGAGGCTAACGTAGAAGTAAGTCTACGCGCAAATAAGCGAAGTGGCGCAGAACCTCTTGCTTCTGCCCACTTCGCACTCATCCATCAGCTTCAGTATAAGCATCTAGTTCTACATTTTTGCTTACACCTTTTATGACATGGCCAACGTTAATCCAAACGAAGCCGTCAGACCGGACTATGCTCTAGCTGAGTACCAGCAAGAACGTCAACAGCTAATAAATGAAGGCCTATCTGAACAACAAGCCGTTCGGTCCCTTACAGCTTTATGGAACGTGAACAACAACGCAGAGAAACAGCGTTGGGCAGACAGACAAGATCGCCTGCGCGAAGCCCGTCAGCAAGCAGAGGAGGATGAGCTCCAAAGACAACAAGACCGCAGAGACGAGGAAGAAGCGGCACGGCTAGAGGAGAGAAAGAAGAATAAAAACAAGTACGCACCCATCAAGCGCGGAAAAGTTCCTTCGGACCCCACTATCCTTCCAGCGCAGTATGCGACTCGGAAACTCAAAGCAGGCGACTACTGTGAATTACATTATTTCACTAACAAGGGCTTAGATGATGCCAGAGTATCAACATCCATCGCCGAACCAGAAGCGCTGGTAATGTTACCCGCTGCGGATGGAATCCATTCCTGGGTCCCCGCAGCAGCGGTCAAAGACCCGAAAGCAGCACCTGTAGTCAAAGATGAGAATCTTACCTGGGAAGAGTTCAATGAAGCTGCACCGCGCATGATCCTTTCCATGAAGATGCACGACTGGCCGGATGACTGGGTGGACATGCATGTTCAATTCTGGACAGCGCTACAGTCTCATCGCTGGCGCCATACACCCGACCCCCTCAAACAAAGAGCATTGTTACTATACCAATCCCAACAACGCCGCCGCTGGCACCTCACCATAGGAACCGCGCAAGGCTGGAGCTTGGAAGAAATCAATCAAGACTTGCTGTTGGAGGCGAGGGAGGAATTGTTCAACGAGAAACGCGAGAAGGAGACAGCGATGGCAGTACAGGTCAGTCATAATCCCTCCCACAAGCCCGTCTTCTCACCATTTCGAACACCTTCAAAACCACACTATCTTCTTCCTTGGGCTATCGCATCCCTTTTAAAAACGTTATTGGCCAATCGCGTGCCAATAACGCCAATTGCAAACGCGGGTTATCACAACCTCACCCAATGACACATCACGCTGTCTATTGGGGCTGTCTTAATGACAAATGTTCATCACGAACATTGGTTATCACAACCGAACACCCCTGGGATGCACACCGCGCGCAACCGAAACCACATACCACATGTGGACGCATCACTTGCTATCACAGCAAGCAGCGGCGGCGTTCATCGCCAGCAACCTAGACTCTCTACGGCCGCCACAAATGACTTCAACGCGCCAAGTCGCCAGCGGGCAAAAACACCCTCTCCCACCAGCAGAAGAAGTATCAAACTTTAACAAGAAGGTACGCACCATTCGTGCACCTCCTGCATCTGGTCCCCTCCCATGCTGCGCAGTGTGCCTCGGACGTAACCCCCATAAGACCATCGAGTGCATGGCCTCCCACACGTGGGATAAGCAACACGAGACCTTTGCGGAACGCATCCACAAGGGTCTGTGGACGAAAGACGGAAAGCAGCTCTGCACTGCCTGGCAGCGCGAAGAGGGCTGTTCCGTGGCCAGACATGACACCAAACATGTGTGCTCAGGGTGCGGGGCCGCCACTCATGGAGCCCAAAGATGCGCTCGAGCGCAGAAAGCAGAATCTGCTAACGCCGTATAAGGCAGAAGCTTGGAATCGCGCGCTCAATCACCCAGAGTTAGCTAAACGTTTCGCGAAGATCGCAGACGGCCTTCGTAGCGGCTTCAAAATAGACTTTCCCGTTATCACCAATGTACAAACCCCCCCTAATAAAGACTCGATTAGCGAGTTTGCTATCGAATTTCGCGCCATTATCCAAAAAGAGATCGACAAAGGAAGATACATCGGCCCTTTCGATGCTGACACCTTAGAACGACTGATTGGACCTTTCCAATCGTCCCCGTTGTCCATTATTCCAAAACCAGGCAAACCTGGAAAGTTCCGACTCATTCAGAACTTCTCATTCCCACACAAAATCAACGCGACATTCGCAAACGCTTCAGTGAATTCGAGCATAAACGCTAATGATTTTCCAACAACATGGGGAAAGTTCTCAATAATCTACGACTTGATAGCCAATCTTCCTCCAGGGTCAGAAGTAGTGACTCGGGACATAGCTGAAGCTTACCGAACAGTACCGCTACATGAATCCCAATGGCCGGCAGGTATAGTCAGAGGTTCGGAGACATCCTTTTGCGTGGATACTTGTACAGCCTTCGGCGCAACGCCTTCAGCAGGAATCTACGGTCACATAGCTGATGCCGGAGCCGAAATATTTCGACACGAAGGCATCGGACCGTTAGACAAGTGGGTAGATGACCACATCTTTTTCAGGATACGTCGCGAATTTCTCGAACGTTATAACGAGGACAGAAAGACATGGCATGAAAAATTCGCCAGTTCTGGCTTAAGGCAAATGGAAGAAAGACTCTGGTTCGGTGAACGTTGTCCTATCAGTGGAAAAATAGAAGAATCAAACGAAAGTCGCGCGCTCCCCTTAATTGACCTCTCGAACCGATCACCTCGTTCGAAACACGATGCCCTATTTACGTTCTGCCTACAGGACATAAATGACCTATCAGACGAGCTAGGCCTAATCTGGGAGGTCTTGAAAGACCAACTTTTCAACACGTCCACGATTTACATAGGTTTTTGTTGGAACCTCAAACTAATGATAGTAGCATTAAGCGAGGCTAAGGTAGCCAAGTACTTAGCGGCCATACACAGGTGGAGGAAGCGTCACGCACACGTCCTCCAGGACGTTCAAGAACTTTATGGCAAGTTATTGCATGCGTGTGCCGCAGCACCTCGAGGCAGAGCGTACATCACCAGCCTCGAGGATATGTTAGCGGTTAGTCAATCCAACCCTTTCTCACCCCGAAGGGCTGGGAAAACAGTAGCCGAAGACCTTAATTGGTGGTCTGAACTACTTCAATCTGGCGGTGTGGCCCGCGACATCTTCGCTACTCCCCCACTCCAGAACCCTCTAGCATTCTCTGACGCGAGCTCTGGGATAGGAATAGGGATAGTCATCGGCGATTATTGGAGAGCGTGGAGACTAATTCCAGGTTGGCAAACCCTCAATGGCAAACGAGATATTGGCTGGGCAGAAGCCATCGGCTTTGAACTCCTCGTGCATGCCATCTCCTCTCTCCCTGGCACTAGCAGCAATGTCCTCGTCCACGGAGACAACACAGGAGTCGTGGAAGGTTGGTGGAAACACAGACATCGTAATAAAGAAGTCAACGGGGTGTTCAGAAGAATCCATGATTTCCTCCACAATCTACCCTACCGTCTCGAAATCGTCACTACATACGTCGCGAGCGAGCACAACCCGGCAGATGGCCCATCTAGAGGCATTCTCGGACCCACCCACCTTCTTCTTCCCCCCATCAGTATCGCTAGTGAGCTTGAACCGTTCCTCATCAACGCAACCCAACCTCTATCCCCCACTGAACTACGGCTACTGCGGGACGGGAAATACTCCGTTCCCGCGGCTAAGCTCATCAATCGAGCACTCGTCAAGCAAAGAGCAGCAGAACGACAAGAGATCTCTCGAGCAGAAGAAGAAAGGCACATCAGTGCAGTGCTCCGAAACGAATGACTCTCAGAGCCGCTCACGGTTCGGAGCTCCGTTAGCCCAAAGCCAACCAGTGCAAATAGCTACCCCCCAAATCTACAAACAGTCCCTAACACCGCGCCCTTCAGTCCTTCGTCCACACTGTCTAGCACGAGATCGACTAAGGCTTTGGGTACCAGCAGGAGAGAGTACCAGGCAACTAGCGTCGACGCTAGAGAAGTCGCAGAACCACGAGGTATCGGATGAGCAATTGGATCGAATCCTAGATGTAATAGGGTCAGCGTGGGCGCAATCCACAAAGGAAACGTACGGGGCGGGCCTCTTAGTTTTCCACGTATACTGCGATGTCAACCACGTTGAAGAGGACAAGTGTTGCCCCGTTAATCCCAACCTTCTCCTAGAGTTCCTGTCCAGCTGTGCTGGTTCCTATTCAGGGTCAGCAATAGCAAACTTCATAGCCAGCATTAAAGCCTGGCACTTACTCCATGGTAGAGCCTGGATGATCCAACCGGGAGAGCTTAAAACATTACTCGAAGGGGCATCAATCCTTGCTCCTCCATCTTCGAAGCGTCCAAAGAGACAGCCGTTCACTCCCAACTTCATCACATGCATCCGCAACCAGATGGACTTAAACAAACCGCTTGACGCAGCTTTCTACGCCTGCATGACGACAACGTTCTACTCTATAGCACGTTTAGGTGAATTCACGGTCAAAACAATCAAATGTTTTGACCCACGCAAACACGTCACGAGAAACGGAATGTCCGAAGCCACTGACCGCAATAATCTACCAGTAACCAAGTTCGCACTACCCAGCACGAAATCATCTCCGCTTTCGGGCGAAGAGACCTATTGGGCTGCTCAGAACGGCCCCACAGACCCAAAGGAAGCCATGCAGAATCACTTACGAGTGAACCCAGGAGGAGGCGAAGAACACCTCTTTGCGTGGAAACACGACAAAGGCATAAGACCGCTATCGAAGTCGGAATTCGTCAAACGACTAGCGCTAGCAGCAAGCGCAGCAGGCTTACCAGACCTCAAGGGTCATGGGCTGCGTATCGGGGGAACGTTGGAGTACCTGTTGAGAGGAGTACCTTTTGATGTAGTCAAAACAATGGGGAGGTGGTCGAGCGAAGCATTCACCATTTATTTGCGAGACCACGCGAAAATACTAGCTCCATACATCCAATCATCGCCCGCTCTAGAACCGTTCACGAGGTACACACTACCACCGGTGCGCTAGAGCGAAGCAATTAGTGAGTCCACTCCTTCTTTTCATAGGGCACCAAGCTTCGCCATACACGTTGTAGCCCTCCTAAACCATCGGGAACACAGCTCACCTTGCTATACCAGGTTCGGTTTTGAGTTTCAGACCGGAAAGGCCCTGCGGGCCTTCGCCCAGTAACCCAACAACCTGTCACATTTTGTACTTGCATAGATTCGTATTCCACACCGTGTCGACGATTCCATCTGCACCCTTCAGACGTTAGCATTTCCCATCATTCGAATTTCAACATTCGTTTCCTCGTAAAGTCCAAGACGTTTCGCAGTGCAGCGCATAGACGAAGCGCTGACTTTGCAAAACGGTACGGAGATTATATGGGGCTTGCGATGAAATAATCACTCTCGCGACTGAAGAGGCGCGATAAGATACAGAAGTAGTGTGACTTGTGCCAATCTGGCCAATAGCCCGTCGGATGGGGAAAAAATGCATCTGAGCACTGATGAGTTATCAGCCATCTGGCATCACGATTCGCAGTATCTATATGTCCAGGCTGTGAAACACTAACGCGCAAAATCAGAATCAGTCGTCAAGGCACTTTCACTGATTCTCATTGTATTTTAACATTGGCGATCAAGGACCAGGTTGGTTGCTAGTCGTTCCAAATAACTTCAGCTCACCACTCGGTTCAAGCACGAGTATTTCGTTCCAGTAATGATACAGCAAGAAATAGGTTTGTCTAGACCTTTCAAATATACTTCGAAATACCATATGCTAAATAAATACCACGACTGATCGTCGACCAAATTTCTCCGCCCTGCAGACCACTTGGCAAGCATTTCCCTACACAGTACTGCTAGTTGGTACATATACATGCTCCTGGAAAACAATCGAATTCATGCTAGTTTCTGCGTCGGAGCATGCCACAAGTTTGGCATGGTATTCTGGAACGCTCAGGATGAGGCG